TGTTTGATGATTGTGTTTGGATGATTGTGTTTTTTCAATTTTTAATTTTTTTAAAGCTGCGAAATTTTATTTCCATATGGTTCCTACTCTTCTGTATCATATCACACTTTCTTTTTTCTCTCTCTCTCTCCACCTCTCTCTTTTTTCTCTCTCTCCCCACCTCTCTGTCATCTGTCTCCCCACCGTTTCACCATCTCAGTATCTTTTTCTCCCCACCTCTATCATTCTCTCTTTTTTCCTCTTATTCTCTCTCCTCTATTTCTTATTCTCTCTTTATCTTCCGATCTCTCTTCCTCTATCCAATCTCTATCACTCTTTCCTTCTTTCTCTCTCTTTTCGCTCTCATATCCCTCTCTTCCTTTATCTCCCACCACTCTCTCCTTCTCTTTATCTCTCTCTTTCTTTCACTCTCTGTCTACCTGTCTATTTGCCACCCTGTATTTTCCTCTTTCTCACCATCTTTCACGTTTAATGGTAAAACATTTTATACCGTATCAAAATGCCATTAGAACAATGTTGATTACATCTATGGAGTCTTCATTGTTTCAACTACTTACTCAGTAAAGTCTTACATCTATGGAGTCTTCATTGTTTCAACTACTTACTCAGTAAAGTCTTACATCTATGGAGTCTTCATTGTTTCAACTACTTACTCAGTAAAGTCTTACATCTATGGAGTCTTCATTGTTTCAACTACTTACTCAGTAAAGTCTTACATCTATGGAGTCTTCATTGTTTCAACTACTTACTCAGTAAAGTCTTACATCTATGGAGTCTTCATTGTTTCAACTAATTACTCAGTAAAGTCTTACATCTATGGAGTCTTCATTGTTTCAACTACTTACTCAGTAATGTCTTACAGAAGCGATCAAATATTGATAAGACCCGTTGCTTGGCTATTGAATGTCATTCACAGGACAAATAGGTTATCAGATTGCCACCACATGCTCATTTCCAAATGAAATTTTATTGAATTCTTTATAGTGAACAATTCTATCGGAATCTCTTTATTACCTTTCGTTTTTAACCGTTTTTCTCATTAATGTTAGCACTCGGTTTGACAAAGTTTAATAAGCACTCGGTTTGACAAAGTTTAATAAGCACTCAGTTTGACAAAGTTAAATAAGCACTCAGTTTGACAAAGTTAAATAAGCACTCAGTTTGACAAAGTTAAATAAGCACTCAGTTTGACAAAGTTAAATAAGCACTCAGTTTGACAAAGTTAAATAAGCACTCGGTTTGACAAAGTTAAATAAGCACTCAGTTTGACAAAGTTAAATAGGCACTCGGTTTGACAAAGTTAAACCAGCAATATTAATCCGGACTCAGGTGTCCACGATTATTTACGAATTGACCGCATTAAATAAACCTTTTAAACAAGTCTAGGACATTTGATAAGCTATAAATAGTAAAAAGTTCAAGGTGAACAGAAAGGGCGCCATTTTATTATTTACGTCACTTCCGTGCTTTTGAATGTTTACCTTGTTAAATAGAATACTAGTTTAAAGGATGAAGTCAATAAACTGTTGTCCCATGAGAGAAGCCGGATAAATGGTTTGTTACGATCGTAACATCTGTAACAGCTGGCTAACGGGGCGACTTCCCAGCTAGGAGATGATTGACAGTAAACACATCAACGGTAACTTTTGAACATTGACACGGGCGACAGAAGTCGTTCAACATAGACAACAAGACAGGAGCGTAGGAAAAAAGAATAGGGGGTAGGGTCCGTCGACGGTGGCACTTTTTTCGGACTGATTTGTGGCCTGCTGCAATGAATGGAACTTTTAAAGAGAAAAATGGTGGGAGGTCAGGGGGGGAGGTGGGGGGTCGTAGGAGGTTACAGAAGATATAAAAAGAAAACCGACTCGATTGTTCTATTTGTGGCCATGGTGGAAATGAACCTATTATAAGAGGGTTGGACTGAGATAAAGATATACAGTCGAACCCACTTATCTCGACCTCTAAAATCTCGCTAACGCTGTTATGTCGACGTTCTGAATTGGAACCGCCAAATTCCCTCTTTGTCTTAGAATTTTCTTTCTCGGTTATGTCGATTCTTTTATGTCACCGAACCCTAATATCTGGAGCACAAAATGCCCCACTTAACTCCGTTTATCTCGATCGCCATGACCAATCGCCGGCATTTGAACTCGACAAGAAGAAATGGCAAACAAAAAACAACTTTTTCATAATTAAAAATAATTATTTATTTCTCAACATACAGGACTTGTGTTTTAGAATGAACCTAGAAGTAATTTCAATAAATATGTTTTAATGCGTGGTTTAAAAACCCGGTAGAGTCCATATTATAAATGATCATAATTTGGTTTGTGCCAAGCGTTGTCATGGGCAGCCATTCACGGTCACTTGCATAATGGCTATGCCGTGGTACTACGTCAGAGTTTCATTCATAAGAGTTTGCCATGTGCATAAGCTTTCAAACCATTGGTCGGGAAGGCTTTAGTTATATAGTCATGTGCCACAGTTGAAAGTTTAAAATAAGTAGTCGCTAAATGGTATTTTAGTAATAAAGGGATGCGTTGCCTTATATAAACTATCGTCATTGCGCATGACACGATCAGCAGGATGAGGTCACAATATGTGAAGGCATCGTCTGAAGTAGACAATAGCAAACAAGCTCGCACTTTAACAATTCATGGCTCAGAAAGTATTAAAGTGTTAAAAGATGATTCTGATTTTATTTTTAAAATTTTTAAATGTGCTCTAAACAACTGTAATATTTAAAAATGTTTTTACCATTATTTTTCTAACTTCCCTGCATTTATTAGTGCACATCATGAACTTAAAGAAATTTCAAGCACATGTTAATATTTTTCAACCATAGTAGTTGTTCTTCTGGAAGCATGATCCAGTTCTTGATTGTCTTTGGCAGGAATGAGCAGTTCCAGTACTGTGATCTTGCTGGTATGAGCCGGAACTGTCTGTCACGGCCTCGTTGCTGTCTATGGGGGAGAGGGACGAGTTTTTGTTTAGTGCTGGAACAGTGGACCAGACAATTTTATATCTTCTACATCATGTACAGCCTGGATTGTCGTCGTCGTTCCTCCAACGGTGACCAGCCCAGTGTTTCCAGCATGCTGCCAACACTAGAGGTATTCCTTTATCGGTTCAGGAGAAAGCATGCTGCCCCGTCACTGGACCACATCCAACCTGTCGATTCTCTTGTGGGTGAATGGGTCCCAGACTGAAGATGCTTACTCTAAAAGTGGCCGAAAAAAAGGCTTTATAAGCTTTTTCTTTCACACTTGAGTTGCCGATGTTCAGATTTATCCTTAAGAACCCTAGGGTCTTGTTTGCTTGGTTACATACCTTGTTAATATGCTCGTCCCAGCGGACCTCTCTTTGAATGGTAAAACCCAGATACTTTACGGAGGAAATTGGCTCAAGTAAAAGGTCATGTAATTCGTAAGGGTGGTTAAGAGGAGTTCTACTCCTGGAGACGGACAGGGTCTGGCACTTGATGGGATGAAATTCCATTTCACAGCTCATCTCCCACTCGGCTAACCGATGGAGGTCCTGTTGCAGCTCGTGCTGGTCAGAACTGCTGACGATCGTCCTATACACCACCGTGTCGTCTGCGAACATTCTTGCTTAAGAGTTCAGCTTCTCGAGCAGGTCATTGATATATGCTAGGAACCAACATGGGCCTAGCAACTAGCTTTGACCCCCTTACTTCCCATCACTCTGATCCACTTTTTTCCCACCACTCTGATCAACTAATTTCCCACCACTATAATCCACTAATTTCCCACCACTCTGATCCACTTATTTCCCACTACTCTGACCCACTTATTTCCCACTACTCTGACCCACTTATTTCCAACTACTCTGACACCCTTATTTCCCACAATTCTAATCCACTTATTTCAAACCACTCTGATCCACTTATTTCCCACCACTCGAAAAAACTTATTTCACACTACTCTAACACACTCATTTCCCACCACTATGATCCACATATTTCTCACCACTCTGATCCACTAATTTCCCACCATTCTGATCCACTTATTTCCCACCACTCTGATCTATTTATTTCCCACCACTCTGATCCACTTATTTCTAAACCTCTCTGATCCACTTATTTCCCACCACTCTTATCCACTTATTTCCAACCTGTCTGATCCACTTATTCCCCACCACTCTGATCCACTTATTTCCCACCTCTCTGATCCATTTATTTCCCACCCCTCTGATCCACTTATTTCCCACCACTCTGATCCACTTATTTCTTACTTCTCTGAACCACTTATTTCCCACCACTGTGATTAACTTATTTCCCACCACTCTGATCCACTTATTTCCCACCACTCTGATCCACTGATTTCCCACTACACTGACCCACTTATTTCCCAACAATCGGATCCACTTATTTCCCACCTCTCTGATCCACTTATTTCCCACCTCTCTGATCCACTTATTTCCCACCACTCTGATCCATTTATTTCCCACCACTCTGATCCACTTATTTCTCACCTCTATGATCCACTTATTTCCCACCACTCTGATCCACTTATTTCCCACCTCTCTGATCCACTTATTTCCCACCACTCTGATCCACTTATTTCCCACCTCTCTCATCCACTTATTTCCCATCTCTCTTATCCACTTATTTCCCATCACTGTGAACCACTTATTTCCCACCTCTCTGATCCCCTTATTTCCCACCACTGTGATTAACTTATTTCCCACCACTCTCATCCACTTATTTCCCACCTCTCTGATCCCCTTAATTCAAATCTCTCTGATCCCCTTATTCCCCACCACTTTGATCCCCTTATTTCCCACCACTTTGATCCCTTTATTTCCAACCACTCTAATCCCCTTATTTCCCACCTCTCTGAACCCCTTATTTCCCACCTCTAACTCTGGTCCACCTACTGCCCACTGCGATAAAAGAAACACATACATTTACTTGAATATAAACACAAAATTCCTCAAACTTTCTTTTTGTTTAATCTTTAAACAGACATTTGCAGATGAACTCAAGTCAATGGTTCCATTTTTGTTTCCTTGGAACAACTGCACGTCTCACAGACCCATTGCCTGTCGCAGAACTATATATACTGCCATGTTTACGCTGAAGGTTTCTCACATTTTGAGACCCACTTGTATCCAGGTCGTGGTCGTTGGGGGGCAATCATCCGGACCTGTACAGCCTTGTCCAGCGGTACTTCGTACATGTTGCAGGTGGTACCAGGTTCACAGCTGCAGTAGCCGTTCATCTTGTCAAGTGTGTAGCAGCTCTTTCCCTTCAGTCTGTATTTCTGACATGTCCCTATGGAGAAATAGAAAAGTTAATACATTTATGCCACATGTAGGCTCCATTGTCTTTTCACACCCTGGTATCTTCGCTCTTCGGTCTCTTTACTCTCCTGTCTCTTCACTCCCTGATCTTTTTTAGCCCCTGGTCTCTTCACACCCCGGTATCTTTACACCCCGGCCTCTGAACAACCACGTCTCTTTAATCCTCTGTCTCTTAACCCCATGTCTCTTCCCTCCCCTGTCTCTTCCCTCCCCTGTCTCTTCCCTCCCCTGTCTCTTCCCTCCCCTGTCTCTTCACTCCCCTGACTCTTCACTCCCCTGTCTCTTTACTCTCCTGTCTCTTCACTCCCCTGTCCTTTCACTCTCCGGTCTGTTCACTTGCCCGTTTCTTCCCTCTCCTGTCTCTTTACTCCCATGTCTCTTTACTTCCCTGTCTCTTTACTCCCCTGTCGCTTCAATCTCCGGTCTCTTCAATCTCCGGTCTCTTCACTCCCCCATTTCTTCCCTCCCCTGACTCTTCACTCCCCTGTCTCTTCACTCCCCTGTCTCTTCACTTCCCTGTCTCTTCGCTCCCCTTTCTCTTTACTTCCCTGTCTCTTCAGATCCCGCTCCTTTCATTCCCGGGTCTCTCTACATCCTGATCTCTTTACTCTCCGGTCTCTTCACTTCCCTGTCTCTTCCCTATCCGGTTCCTGTAGTCCCCCGCATATTCATTACCCCATCTCTTCCCTCCTAGCTCTCTTCAAACTTCGCTCTCTTTAATCTTTTGTCTCTTCACGCCGTCTCTTTACTCCCGTGTCTCATCACTTCCTGGTCTCTTCACACCTCTCTCTCTCTCTTCCCATACTAACCTTTTTTCTCCCCTGTCCCTTAAACCCCGATCTCTTCACTCCCCTGTCTCTTCACTCGCTTCTATCTTCTTATATCGGGTTTTCACACCCCTTTCTTTTCACTCTATTGCCTCTTTACTCACTGGTCTCTTTTCACCCCGGTCTATTCAAACACCGATCTCTTCCCTCCCCTGTCTCATCACACCCCGGTATATTTACACCCCGGTCTCTGGACACCAAAGTCTCTTTAATCTCCTGTCACTTTACTCCCATGTCTCAACCCTCCCCTGTCTCTTCACTCCCTGTCTCTTCACGCCAATGTCTCTTTACTCCCTGGTCTTTTCAGTCGTCTGTCTCTTTACTACCCGGTCTCTTCATTCCCATGTCCCCTAACAACCCGGTCTCTTCAAACTCCGGCCTCTCTTCGAATCCCCTGTCTCTTTACTTCCCGGTACCTTCACTTCCCGGTCTCTTCACACCCTGGTCTCTTCACTCCCCGGTCTATTCATTCTCCGGTCTATTCACACTCCGTTCTCTTCAATTCCCCTGTCTCTTTACTTCCCGGTACCTTTACTTCCCGGTCTCTTCACACCGTAGTATCTTCACTCCCCGGTCTCTTCATTATCCGGTCTCTACATTCTCCGGTCTCTTCATTTTCCAGTCTCTTTACACCCCGGTCTCTTGACACCCCAGTCTCTTAATTCCCCGGTCTCTTTACTCTCCGTTCTTTTACACCCCGGTCTCTTTACTCTCCGGTCTTTTACATCCCGATCTCTTTACTCTCCGGTCTTTTACACCTCGGTCTCTTTACTCTCCGGTCTTTTACATCCCAGTCTCTTTACTCTACGGTCTTTTACACCTCGGTCTCTTTACTCTCCGGTCTTTTACATCTCGATCTCTTTACTCTCCGGTCTTTTACATCCCGATCTCTTTACTCTCCGGTCTTTTACACCTCGGTCTCTTTACTCTCCGGTCTTTTACATCCCGGTCTCTTTACTCTCCGTTCTTTTACACCCCGGTCTCTTTACTCTCCGGTCTTTTACATCCCGGTCTCTTTACTCTCCGGTCTTTTACACCCCGGTCTCTTCACACCCTTGTCTCTTCATTCTCCGGTATATTTATTCTCTGGTCACTTCACACCCCGGTCTTTTACACCCCGGTCTCTTCACACCCTTGTCTCTTCATTCTCCGGTATATTTATTCTCTGGTCACTTCACACCCCGGTCTCTTCACACCCCGGTCTCTTCTCTCCCCGCCTCTCCTTCAGTAAACTTTTAAGCATCTCTAGGTAATTCGTGTTTATCAAATAAACAATGACACAAATAGTCACATCATTCTGTCATCCTAATATGCGTAGGTTCATCTCAAAAATAAAGATAGAACTTTAACTTACCAGACACATGTAGACTAGGGAGGGAAGGTGAAGGAGAGACACGGCTACCATTTGTTGGGTCACGGGGCATGCTCAGCAGTGGAGCTTGTCGTCTGCTCATTATCATGAATTCATTCAGTATCTGGCAACACTCGCCAGAGTCACACTGGTCAGTGGCCGTACATGTCCTGCCCACTAGTGCCTGCTTGAAATAGAAAGGGACAATAGAGTATAACAGTTTTGATCATGGCAGATTGTCCTTGTCTTTTCTATAATTTCAGCTAACACGTATCTCATTCCGCAGAAGCCAGGTCACTTAATCAGAGCTAAACGCTCAATAAACACCGACTTGACCTCTGACAACTCCATGAGCAGTTACATCCGGAACAATGATAAACGCTTCACTGTGCGTCGGTGTCACACAGTCCAATATAAACAATCATTCTTCCCACGAACAATAATTTCTTGGAACCAACTGGACAATGCCGCCGTGGACTCGACATCAAACGAGAGTTTCAAGGCTGCCCTGGCACCCGCTAGGAGCGGTTAGGATAGCCGCAGTACATGGATGCAGCAACTTACCCTATCAGAATCAGAATTTTATTGACATGGTGCTGGAAGAGGAATGTGATCAGCCACACATTGATTATATAGTCTCCCTATAGAAATAAAGCACTAGCCAATTGTCCTTCATTAAAATGTAACAGAAGTGTGCAGCAGAAGAAACATCTATGAAGACACGTGACTGTTTCATAAATGAAGTTTGGGATAAAAATAATAAATATCTCTATCTATCTATCTATCTATCGATCTATCTATCTATCGATCTATCTATCTATCTATCTATCTATCTATCTATCTATCTATCTATCTATCTATCTATCTATCTATCTATCTATCTATCTATCTATCTATCTATCTATCTATCTATCTATCTATCTATCTATCTATCTATCTATCTATCTATCTATCTATCTATCTATCTATCTATCTATCTATCTATCTATCTAATTCGCTAACCAACGGCAAACACCACCACGCGGGCGATATATAGATACCCCAGAGTGTGGTTAAATAATGAGTTCACTAGAGCGCAAAATATAATTCCCGATAACTACGCTAAATGATCCATATATCTATTTTTAATAACGCAATCTCATTTGGTGCGTAATATTTTCTTTTCGAAAAATGAAATCGTCTCAATTTAAGTATTTTGTAAAAAATATTCGGTTTCAAAGAGGTAAAGACATGAGAATATTATTATAGTTCATGGGCGTGAAATAAAAAGTGTACAGTGGCGTATCATGGGGGAAGGGGTGGAGCAAATATTGGGATTCTTAAATGTGCGTTACTTGAGTTCATGTTTTGTCAAGTAACTTTAGCAGATGGGAAGTTCACGCATTGCTGTCACCAACGTTTGGCGGTCTGTAACTAGTGTGTATATAAGATGTCCCTGTGTGTTTGTCTGTGTGTGTTTGTTGTATCTTGTATTTCCATATTGTTATTTGATTTGTACTATGACATGTTATTGCTTCTATTACACATGAAAAAAAACGAAGACTGTTTTTATAAATAGTTTTATTCTAGTTCTAAACTACGTATACGTATATATATATATATATATATATATATATATATATATATATATATATATATATATATATATATATATAAAAAAAAAAAAA